CCACACGCCTCGGCCTCCCAAAGTGCTGGGATCACAGGCTGAGCCACCGAACCCAGCCACTAATGTTTTATTTATTGTAGAGAAGCAGTCTTACCAAGTTGCCTGGGCTGGTTTTGAACCCGTGGGCTCAGGCAACCCCCTCGCCTCAGCCTCCCAAAGTGCTGGGATTACAGACTGAGCCGCTAAGCCTGGCCAGTCTGTAATTTTTTAATAAGAATTAGCCAAAAAACATGGTACCTTTCAAGTGTATGACTGAGCTTAAGTGTTTAACAGTGGCTTTATTAAGTAAACGCTTAATGCGCCTGTAGTTCCGGATACTTGGAAGGCTGAGGCGGAAAGATCGCCAGAGCCCAGTGGGTCAATGCTGGGGTGGCCGTGAGAGAGCTGCTGCCCTCCAGCCAGGGCAATGGAGTGAGACTCCAACTCAAAAAAAAAAAACCATTTACTTCACATTAGTGTATTCAAACACATTATTATCAATTCTTAAATATTTCAAATCAGCCAACTTGAAGTACAGAAGGCTTGCTCTCACTTAATTCTTCTCAGGTGACAAAGAAGCCTGACTTGAGTTCCAATCTCTAACCAACAACCACTCTATCATCACTGGTGAGCTCATAAGAGGGAACTTCAAGGTTGAGAGGTACAGGCCCCTTCCTGATCCTGCCAAATGTATCATAGTGTGAACCATGGCAAGGGCAATAATAACCACCAAAATCTCCTGCATTTGCAATGAGTACACAACTAAGATGAGTGCAAATACTTATCAGGATAACCCAAATTCAGATTTCTTTACTCATTCTAAATCATGCCGTGGGTCCCTCAACTGGAACACTTTTTTTTTTTTTTTTGCAGTGGCCGCTCCCGGCCACCACAGCCTTGACCTGCTGGGCTCTGGCGATCCTTCCGCCTCAGCCTTCCAAGTAGCTGGAATTACAGGCATGCGCTACATGCCGGGCTGATTTTTTGATTTATTGTAGAGATGAGGTCTCGCTGCCCAGGTGGGTCTCAAACCCGCGGGCTCAGGCATTCCACTTACCTCAGCCTCCCAAAGGCGTGGCCGCGGGATTACAGGCTGAGCCACCGAGCCCGACTTTGGAACACTTTTAACTGCAGCTTCCTGGTCAATTTCCTTCTTGGTTCTATGGCGCACAAACAAGGGTTTGCCTCTCTATTTGAAAGCCATGTTCGCCGGATGTGGTGGCTCATTCCTATAATCCCAGCACTTTGGGAGGCGGAGGCAAGAGGATTGCCAGAGTCCAGGGATTTGAAACCAGCCTGGGCAACTTGGCGAGACCTCATCTCTACAATAAATTTTTAAAAATGAACTGGACATGGTGACTCACACCTGTAGTTCCAGTTAATTGGAAGGGTGAGGCAGAAGGATCGCCTGAGCCCAGCAGGCAAGGCTGCGGTGGCCATAATCATGCTATTGCACTCTATTTTCGGCTCCAGAGTAAGACTCCAACTCAAAAGAAAAAAAGAAAAGAAAAAGAAAGCCATATTCTTGCCTTCTGGAATATCACATAACTTGATTTCAATTTTTGACATGGCCAACACATCAGCAGAAGCCCTCATTCTGGAAACAAACTGGAGACAGCATTCTGGTATACATGACACCCATAGTAGGTGTTAATTTGTAGTTTTAAAGTTTTATATGGGTTTTTTTTTTGAGTTGGAGTTTCACTCTGTTGCCCAGGCCAGAGTGTAGTGACATGATCAGGGCTCACTGTAACTTTGACCTGCTGGGCTCGAGCAATCCTTCTGCCTCAGCCTCCCAAGTAGCTGGGACTACAGGTGAGCACCACCATGGCCAGCTAATTTATTGTAGAGATGAGGTATCACCAAGTTGCTTGGGCTGGTCTTAAGCCCGCAGGGTCAGGCAATCCACCTCGGTCTCCCAAAGTGCTGGGATTACAGGCTGAGCCATATATGGGTTTTTTTTTTTTAAAAGAAGATTT